CGGACAACACCGGTGACGATTATCTGAACCGGTACTGGGCCTCCCCTAGGTCGACTCAGCCTCAAATGAGTACCTGGTGCGGTGTGTAAACATCGCCACTGGGGAGACAAAGGCGACCGCGCGTGATGCTGGCCACCCACCCCCTCGTGTGCCGTGCCGGCCTTTATAGGTGCTCGCTAACAGCACTTACCCCAACAGTCTGTTAAGGCTGCACGGGGGTTCTTTGTCTGTGTAAGGGGAGTGGTAGCGCAATGGTTAGTCACCGCGCTATGAATACGGAGGCCCAAGTTCCCATGCTCGACCACCAGTGACGAATTTCGTGAATTGATCCAGAGCCTCCCGCTCGGCTGGCAAAGCCTTTAAAACGAGTAGCTGGTGTGCACCTGGTGTGCAAACATCAACAGTGGGTGAGACAAAGGCGGCCGGGCGTGGTGCTGGCCACCCACCCCACCCCCCTGGTGCGGTGTGCACGGCCGTCATAGTTGCTCACGAACAGCACTCGGTCACGCGCAAGCCTGATTGGTATCTAAACATGGCTTGGACCTCCCCTAGGTCCACTCAGCTTCCAATGCGCATCCCAAGCGGTGTATCTAAAAAGATGACCGCAGAGAGAGAGAGAGGGAGGCCCCACTTAGCAACTCAAAGTGCGCTCTCCTGGCCTTCATGGGCGATCCGCTAAGCAGCGATTGCTCCAACAATCTAAACGTCTAAACGAGGAATCTACGTCTTCATTTGTGCGAGAGGCACCGGGGCAGGTAGGTTACGGCACGCACGATGTGTGCGCCTGATACAGAAGCGTGTGTGCGTTCGTGTGCGAGGTAGCATGCGTGCACGCGTATGTGTTCGTGCGTGTGTGTGGGAGAGGCATGTGTGTGCGTTCGCGTGTATGTGCGCGTGTTCCCGTTTGTGTGGGAGAGGTGTGTGTGTGCGTATGTGCGCATTCACGTGTGTGTGCACGCACATTCGCGTGTGTGTTCGGGTGTGTGTGTGTGTGGGAGAGGCGAGTGTGGTGGTGGGCTGGGTGGGAGTTGGGTGGAAGCGAGAAGCTTGGCTAGAAGTGAGGGTGGCGGGGGATGGCGGTGTGTGGGGGGGGGTCACATGCCGAAGATATTTCCCTGCTCCCCTAAAGACGAAGGAAAATCACCGTGCTTTGAAGACAAGACAAATGCGCTCCACGTATTCTGCTGGTTAATTGTGCACGTGGCGGTGTGCGATTTCACCCATTCCCAGGGATCCACCCTTCGCAGCACTCCAGACCCAAGCCCCTCGTGGACAGCCGACTACGACCGCCGACGCAGCCGCCGAGCTCGAGCCAGGGGTAATTGGTTTCTTACCCTTTTATCTGGCAACAAAACTGACACCTTTTTTTTTACAAGGAGTCATGTTTGCATAGACCGTAATACCTGCAGTCGTAATGCAAACAAAAATCATAACTCTGATAATGTATGCACTTTCCTTGAAGTTGATTGGTCCACACTCGAGACAGCTTTGCTTAGAGCCTAGTCTCACATGGTGTTGGACCAGATGACGCCATATGCATTATGACTGCAGGTATTGTGGCCTATGCAAACATGATTCCTTGTAAAAAAAGTGTCAGTTTTATTGCCAGATAAAAGGGTAAAAAACAAATTATCATATTTTTCACTGGCAAATGAGGTTCCAATGGTGTAAATCTCTAGCCAAGGGTTCGTTTAATCGCCCGTGTTTACGTGCAGCGCTATCACGCACTCTGAGAAAACGAGGCATCGCGCGGCCGCTAGCAGACGCCGTCCCTGCGGCCGTCTGAACCGCTCTCCCTTCCGATATTAGAGAGCCACCGGAGTTGTGCACTTTCAAATCATCTCGAGTGACCACCTCATTTCTTTCGGGCTGCCTCTTGTGTTTAGTTTTGTTTGGATTTCCCGCGCCGCACGCACATCGGATTAGCGCCGTTGGCTACGTACGGTGCGAAAGAAGTTCAACACACACACATGCTTGGCGGGCTCGCGGTATAAATCATTCGTCCGCTCCGCACGAGCAACGTTTCCCTTCTCCTACGCAGCAGCAGCTGCTGGTGCCGCTGCGAAGTTTCTCCGCCACTCTTCGCACGGCGGCCATCGGCGCCGACGCCGAGGAGCCGGACGAGAGACGCCCGTTTTGAAGAAGGGCCCCCCCCCCCCCTCTGCACGTGGTCGATCGTAGCGCACGGGAGCAAACGCCTTCACCAAAACGGGCTTCCGCCCCCTCTCTCAACTCGAACGGAACGCCGTTGAGTTTTGACGTGAGAAAAAAAACGACGGCAACATGAAGGGAGCGTCACCACCACCACCGGTAGTATGCAAAGCGACTCTAAAAAAGGTGGGGGGGGGGGGGCAGTAATTCACAGCCCCTCGCAGAATGGAGTTGCTTGGCGCTGCTCTTACGTCGCCAGGAACGCAAAGATTCGCGCGATCTCAGCAGCTTCGTGAAAATGAATCGAGGAGGAGGAGAAACGCCATCGAGACGAATAACGCAGCATTAACTCTTTTTCTGCTTTTTTGTGTTCAGTCTGTTGTCCTTCCCCCCCCCACCGCCGCCATCCCGCGCCTCTGATTAGCGCGTTCGTCTATGCACGGTGCGAAAGAAGTCCGACGTACACACACACGGACAGCGTGCGTCAGCGGGACCCTCCCGCGGAGTGCCCACCCGTCATTCTCTCGGCTCCGTCCACCGCGCTGCTTCCGCTTTAAACACGGCGGTGGCGATGATGATGGTGGTGGCGGCGTGGGGGGGGCGCACGGGGTTTGTGTTTTTTTCTATGAATGGGGCCTACGGTCACATAACAAAAACAAAGCACCACCCGCCAGTCTACCCCACCACCGCCCCCACCGCCCCCCCCCGCCCCCGTTGTGTCGGGCGCGACACTGACCCAGCTGGACCTAACACGCCAGCGCATCATGCCGCCACCCACCAGAGTACACGGTGAGAAGGCGGGGGTGGCGGGGGTGCCGAATTCAATGAATCATGGGGCTCCGAGTAGGGCTGCGATTCCTGTATACGCTGCTGCTGCTGCTACCGCGAGGGAATCGCCGCACGCGCGGCCCTGTTTACAGACTCCACCTTGCACGGCACGGGGGGGCGGATTCACAAGTTAGAGAAGTTCACCGCAAACCTGTCACGCAGAGTTCACCACAGCCCCCCCCACATCCCCCCAGACCCCCCCCCCTCTCCCCCGCCCACACAGCCCCCCCCCCCACATCCCCCCAGACCCCCCCCCTCTCCCCCGCCCACACAGCCCCCCCCCCCCACATCCCCCCAGACCCCCCCCCTCCCCCCCGCCCACACAGCCCCTCCATTCACAATTTCAGGGTTATCAGCGAGCACTTTAATTACAGCTTTGCTTGCACTTTGTCACCGCCTTAAGTGGGGAGGCCGACCAAAGGTGTGGGTGCAGTGGGGGGCTGCACTTTCGATACCCAGCTACATCATCGTCGTCGTCAGTTCGATCTCCCGCACCCCTCCCTAAGTCCCCCCCTAAATCCACCCACCCACCCACCCCCACCATGAGCTTATTACCAAAGTAATATTCTACCGTGCTGCGCGCATAAAAGCTAACCCTTTTGTAATTCAACATTTCCTGGAGGTTGGCAAGCGTATGGGGAAGATCCAAACAACAAGACTCATTTCAAAAATTTGCGTTCAGTTTGTTTTCCTCCCCGCGACCTCCGATTAGTACGGTTAGCTACGTACGGCGTGAAAACAAGTTCGACGCTACATACATACGTAACAGGGCGGACGGACTCAGGAAGCATGTCAAGTGTCAGCCTTGAAACAGTTCGTGAGATGTGGCTGGAGAGGAAGGCTGCGGGGTGCAGCAGCAGCAGCGGCGGGATGTGGTGGCGTCGACACAGCAGTGGCCACAGCGACCCGCTTGAACGTACGCACAACGGTGCATCCTGATAATAGCGTGAGCAGACATAAATGTCCGCGTGCACTATTATTATGGTAATGCCCCCCGGTTTACATCAGGGGTTGCGTTCCTGAAAGGTGCGGCGTCGAATATCGAAACGACGTGAACCAGGGTGGTGGTAGCGGGCGCTGGAGGCGACGGATAACGACGAGGGAGGTCGGACGACGACGACGCTGCTGCTGTCAGCGACGTGAGAGTGTGGGGGTTGAGATGACGCAAATCGGGTAGCGGTGTTGATTATAAAGTGGCGACATTCTTGCGAAACGACGTAACAGGGGGAGATGCACGTCGCCCACCGCGCTAATTGGAAGTGCCGGGGAAGGACAAACTAAACACAAAAAAGCAGTTCTAAAGAAATTCAATCGCGATGATGATTTTAAAGTGCATAGCTCCCAGCGGCTTCCTAATATCGGAAGGAAGAGCGCTCCAGACGATCTGAAAGCGCCACGCGATGTGGTGACCGTCTTTGTTCGATGGCCAGCCCAAAGCTGCTGCCGCTGCTGCGAAGATGACTGGAGTTCGCGCGACGATGGTACTCGCTCTTTGACGAGACCAACGAGGCATCGGCGGGTTCATTTGTGGCAAACGCTCTGTCAGTGTGATGAGCGCGACGTGACAACAGCGCCTTCGTTCGGCAACCGGAAACCCGACGCGGCTCGCTTCTCCTGCAATGCAGTGGGAGTCGTTGCGTTCCTGAAGAACGCCGCGTTCTGTAAAAATCGCGTTGTAATAAATAACTCTAGGGATAAAGCACAGTCCGTAAGAGAACCGGTGAGATGCGTACACAGGCCTGAACAAAGACCGAGGCGCGTAGGCAGCATCTCGAAGCATCCAGCAGCATCCCAGCGCCTTGCGCGACGACACTACGCCAAGGCAGCTGCCCCACCGCTTAATCTCTAACCCGGCGCGACGCACTTCCGTTCGCTCGCGTAAAAAAGTAGCAAAAAAAAACCGTTCCCCAATACGTTCATCGCGCTCCACACACACACATATATCGAACTCGCGTTGACGAAAACAAGCGTTGCGGGAGAACAGGAGTGTGCGCTGACAATGCGCGTGCGGCTCGCGTCACCTGTCTCCGCGCGGCCGTCGCGGCTTGGGCACCACCTTGCCCTTGGGCCGGCGCTCGCTGCCCGCGCACGGCGCCCCGCCGGGGCCCGTCACGCGGATCGTCTCCAGGCCCTTGGCCGACTTGCGGTAGCTGAACTCGAGCGGCTCGCCCTCGCGCAGACTCCGGAAGCCCTCCATGAACACCTTGCTCTGCGGGCGGTGGACAACAACACGGGCCCGGTGAGTGCGCAGCAATGCAGCAGTGCAGCATAGCAGCAGCACAGCAGCAGCAACAGCAGCAGCAGCAGCAGCATCAACAGCAGAAACAGCAGCAACAGCAGCAGCAGCAGCAGCATCAACAGCAGAAACAGCAGCAACAGCAGCAGCAGCAGCAGCATCAACAGCAGAAACAGCAGCAACAGCAGCAGCATCAACAGCATCAACAGCAGAAACAGCAGCAACAGCAGCAGCAGCAGCAGCATCAACAGCAGAAACAGCAGCAACAGCAGCAGCAACAGCAGCAGCAACAGCATCAACAATAGCACAGCAACAGCAGCAACAGCAGCAGCAAGCAGCAAGAGCAGCAGAAGCAACAGCAGCAGCAGCAGCAACAGCACAACAGCAGCAGCACAGCAGCGAAGCAGTGCAGCAGCAGCTGTAACAGAAGCACAGCACAAGCAGCACTGCACCAACAACACTGCAGCAGTAGCAGCAGCACATTCGCGGTGTGTTTTACGCACGGCTTTAATAAGTCAGAACAGTCCAGCAAGCTGTACTGTTATTGTATTTGTGCGTACGATGGCGACATGTTCAGGAGCTAACATCAGCAAACAGCTTCCGCAAGATGATACCAGAGCCAATTTGACACTCTGGGTACATCCTACGGAGTTTGACGGCCATTTTCCTGAGGTAGGTGCGATCGTGTTGATTGGTCCACCCGCCTTGCGCCATGGTGGTCATAGTCATCATCGTCGTTGTCGTCAGCCACGATCGATCGACTACTGGATTAAAGCCTCTTCAAGCCGTCGCAATCCCTCATGATCACGCGGTAGGACAATCCACCCAGCATCTGCACAGGCGCCGATTTCACCGCTCCGTCTCCACGGCGGGCGTCCATCCCTCAGGCTGCCGATCCCAATGATTACTCTTCACCATCGGCTATCATCACCCCTTCCAGGGATGTCCCCTGCCCAAGCCCATTCGCTCTTCATAACGCTTCAATTGATGCCTATGATCTGCATATGGTCTCTCTCTCAATATAATTTTAGAGAATCTCTCCACGCGTCTCTGCGTAACTTTTTTTGACAGTCCGTGCCCCATATTTGGGGCGATGCGGTGGTGAGATGTTAGCTACCTTGCCTGATATACAAGAGGTCGTGGGTTCAATCCTGATCGTGAATATTTGGAGTTTGCATGTTCTCCCTACGGTCACGTGGATTTTTCTCCGGGTCCTCCACTTTTTCCCTCCACATCTAGAAACATGCCTTTGGCTGACATAAATGTCCACATGATGAATAAGCGACTTCATTGGGCTATCATTTGGTGGCCAGGTCGCTTCTGAAAAAAAGCCACATAGCTCAGTGGGCTTTACTTAGTAAAAACAAAATGTAGTTTAAGTCGTATTTTTACATTTTCTGCGCCGTAAACGCCCGCCGTTTCTGAGACTGTTTTCACGGCGGGCGGGACAGAGAGTTCTCTTTCATTACGATTGGCGAGCACCGGCCCCCATAGGCCCAAAACACCGAGCGGGGCCTGCAAACAAACAGCACCACTGAAGGTGCAACAGAGATAAACGAGCGCTCGCACATTTATTGCACGGGTACGCTGGGAGAAGCTCGCGGTAGAATGCCCTGACCGCTCGATTACCCGGCTTACGATTCCCGCGCGCTCGCTGTAAACAAACCGCAACCGAGAACGCCGGGGCCTCCCGGTCACAACCGGTGGCCTAATGAGGACCCGCTAGGTTACACGATGCCACCCTGGCAATCTGCACCCATCTGGAAAGGACTTAAGACCCACCGCATACCCACGCACCCGCAAACCCGCTCTTCCCCCCCCCCCTCCCACCAACACCAGCAACACCACCACCACCACCATGAACAACTTCAACCAATCCGCCTCCTCCATCTCCACCGAATCGTTATCCCCTCGACCGCCTGCTAACATCCAATGTCTCCACCCCCCACCTATGGGACCGCAGGACGAGGAGGTGCAGTTGTGTTTTGGTACATGGTTAATGTTCACAGCCAATCGGCAGCAGGATCATAGGGGGGCAGGGGGAACAGGGGGGATGAGGCGGGGAGAGACGGGTTGGGGTAACTGAAAAAAAATGCAGATATCCTGGTTTTGTCCAGGTCAAAGGGCAAAGGTTAGTGACTGTAGCAAACCATCAGTGAAGATGGCGGCAGGAGAGAGAAAAAAAAGGTAAGATGATGTTGGGGCATATTTTTCCATTTTGTTCCCGGTCTAAGTCACTTTGACCTTTCAATTGCTTTGACCTTCAACCTTTTCGAAAGAATTTGGATTTAGGCGGAGTAAAATTGCAACAAGACAGGGAAGGGTTAAAACATAACAAAAGACAATAAAAAGATTGTTCTAGCTTCTAAGCAAAAACGGTTTTGGGTGTAAAATGCGAACGTACAATCCTTATGCACGGATGCTTTTGAAATGTTATCAATGGATAAATCACCCCCCCCCTTCTCCCACCCCGACACCATCGTGAAACCATAACTTGTCGTATCAACATGGGTGCCATTAAACAAACATGCTCGCATTAGGAACGCACCAGCACATTGCTAACTTCGCAAAGAATGTTTAAATCGCGGGCCGTTTTGGACCGTGCCATTTGGTCTATGAACGACGCGAGCTGCACGGCCGGCTTCCCCCCCCCCGCCCCCCCGCCCCCCCCCCGTGCGGGTCTTTAACGTCGACTTTGCAGCACGCGGCAACGCTTTTTTGGGAGTGAAGCTCCCCAATGCTTTGCTCGCTTGTACTGAACTCTACTGAACTACCGCTCCCGGTGTCTGTGCGGTCCACGTCATCGGGGGGTGGGGGGGGGGGCAAGGCTCGCGAGAGAGACACGGCTAGGCGGTTTGCAGAGGCCCTCATCCAGCAGTGGATTGGACCCCGGGCCGATGACGGTGGTATAATGACTCGTCCGTAGAGTTTCACACGCACACCCCGTCCCGGTTGGATATGGCCAAAGCGCGTTTGAAAATTGCGGGTCTACATTTACGAACGCGATCTCTCCTCCGCCGCCGGGTCTATAGAAAGACCCCGATTGATTGATTGAGAGTGTTAATTTGAATCACAGTTTCCATGACCAAACGGCGTGTTAACGCAATGATTTGGCGGGCTGGGAGGTCTCTGACTCGTGGCACATTCCATATTTATAGACTTGTGGCCGAAACACCGCTTGCCCTCACCCCATCGTCGCTTGCTTTTCACTGTCCTCACCCATTTCTGTCGGACTTCCCTTTGCTACACAGACTGCCGCTGCAACACGCCATCCCCCTTGGCATAATGGGTCAGGCAAAACAAATGCAAGCCAAGAGAGTCGTTTCTGCAGTCAAAGTTTCACAGAATCTTTTCTAATACTGAAGGAATCCAATGAGCTATGAAGCTTCAACTTTAACACACAGTAGGCTTTCGCGACCGACTATTATCCATGAGAGGTTTTTTTTGTTGGGTCAGACCGTGTAAGTATAAACGCGTCGTTAAACAAGCCACCGCCCGACACACCAAATGAGCGAGGGTTTGTCACGTAAACAAAACGTGGCAACTCGTTACTACTTGAGCACACAGCGGCTGTGTGTTGGAGAGTGATCCCACCACAACATTTACAATTCGGGTGCCGTGACAACAACCAGCATCATCAGGCGACAGCCACAGTTGCACTGGGACAATGCAGCAGCAGGTATAGAAATGTCACCTCTGCTTTCCACTGATCTGCAATCATTTCCTCGAACTTTTTCTTCCCACTATCTTCGTAAATGTTTTTTTTGAACATGGACTAAGAATCAAGAATGGACTAAAAAGCCGCTTTGAAAGGCAATTCATCGTAACATAGTAACTGATGATGACGATAATCGGGAGAAGGATTTCCATCTACGGGTTTGAGTTACACATTTAAAAAAGTGTCAAAGTCTGTGAATCGCAACAACCTTTAAATGGCGCGTTATTATCGAGCCCCGTACCGCGATAATTCAGATAGAGAAATTATATCACAGGTCTCTATTATTCAATTTGTAGTTGATAGGGTGGACAAAGCCACGCAGAAAAAAGACAAAGATCCCCCATGTAGCCTTTACAGACTTTTGGGGCGAGTGCTGTTAGCGAGTAGCACCTATGAAGATCGGCACAACACACGACGGGGTGGGTTGCCAGCACCACTCCCGGCCACCTTTGTCTCCGAATGGACACACAAACCACTACACACACATACAGACAACACAACGCTCTACGGAGAGAGAGAAACAGAAGCACACCACTCTACAGAAACATACAGGCACACACCACTATACATACAAAGATCCCCCGTATAGCCTTCACAGACATAAGGGGCAAGTGTTGTTAGCGAGCACCTATGAAGGCTGGCACGGCACGCCAGGGGGTAGGTGGTCAGTACCACGCCTGGCCGCCTTTGTCTCCCCAGTGGCGATATTTACACACCACACCAGGTCCTCATTTGAGGTTGAGTCGACCTAGAGGAGGCCCAGGACCGGGTTGGATAGCCGTCACCGGTGTTGGTAGCCGTGAGCGGGTATCGAACTCGGGTCGTCGGGTTTCGTAGCGCAGCGTTGCCAACCCCCCACACTACCATTGTCAGGCCACAGACACGAGCACAGACACGCAGCGCTACTGACCACCGACGAACGCGTCGGGGATTTTAGTTTTTGTACGTACATATTTATTTTGTAACCATTCGCAGGCCTATCGGTCGTGTACCCAGCACGACAAACCTTTCGGGGGGGTATTAGGAACCGGTGCTGACGGGGGTGGGGGTCGAGGGGGCAGGTGGGGAGTGGCTCATATTCGAGAAGCGTTTCCTCTATGCCCTCTTCATCGCTGCTAACGCATCGGCAGGCCACGCGAGCCGTACGGCGCGCAAAGCAACGGCGACTCTCAAAAAAAGAACGCGAGCGGAGGTCGCGCCGCGCAGGAAACGCTCCCCGAGGACGGAGGTGGCAGGGGCGGTGACTCGGAAGGGC